CATACACACACCTTTACTCATAATTAGCATGATAAATTTGAGAAGATAAGATTAACTCATTGTCTAACGATGTTCCAAAAATCTCTGACATTGTGTACAACCTCGTGAAATTAAATAATTGCAGTAAACAATTTCAAGCGAGTTCTGCTTCTCCAAAGTAGTTAGGAAGCACAAGGAAAGCATGCTCACCTTCATTTTCAATGCGTGCGCATGTACACGTGCGTGTGTGTGTGCATGTGCACGTACACAGAATACACGTACAGGGTTCTGCCCAGGATTTTTTAGTGCCGGGCGCATCCAGTTGCGACGAAGTCGGAAGAAGCAAGCGCGGTAGGCGCGAAGCCAATCTAGGGAGGTCCGGGGCATGCCCCACCGGAACATTTCCCATTTTGGATAGTCTGAAACTCAATTTCCTGCATTCTGAGCAATAAAAAGCCCATATACAGACTTTTTTTTCTTCTTTTTTTTTATATCAAAAATTAGTGCCGGGCGGAGATATATAGTGTCGGGCAACAACCGCGAGTGCCGGGCACACCCGCCCACCGCCACCCACCGTGGGCAGAACCCTGCACGTACATATACGTACTGAACACACCGCACTCAAGATTTCATTGATTTTTGTCACAAATGACCCGGTGACCTGTGACGTCACACAACCCCTTGGCTAACTACGAACTGGCTTATTCAACGAAATCGATTGAAGTAAGGTAATTGAGCATGGGGTCACACAGGGTCACACAGGGTCTCTTATACATAGGAGGCACAGTGGCACACCGCCGTTGTGTCAAATTGTGCGTGTGCGCGTATGCACGTGTGCGTGCATGCACGTACACTGCGTGCGTGCATGCACGTACACTGCGTGCGTGCGCGTGCACGTACACGTGCGTGCGTGCGCGCGCTGCCACGTACACATGTGTGCGTGTGCATGTACACGTGCGCGCGTGCACGTACACGTGCGCGCGTACACGTGCGTGTGCATATGCACCTACACGTGCGTGCGTGCGATGCCACGTATACGTGTGCATGTACACGTGCGCGCACGTACAGGTGCGTGCGCGCGTGTACACGTGCACGTATGTGCGTGTACGTACACAGAATACACGTACATATACGTACTGAACTGAGAGTGAGAGTGCACGCCGCACTCGAGATTTCATCGATTTTTGTCACAAATGACCCGGTGACCTGTGACGTCACACAACCCCTTGGCTAACTACGAAATGGCTTATTATATGCACTACAATTTGTATTACAATTCTCCGGACACGATAATATCCGGAGCTGGTATCATGTAGTCAAATTCATTTTTCTATGCTACAACTCCATAAAACCTTAGTGTTTTTAATGTTGGTGTAATCAGTGATATTTCCGCTGTCAGGTGAGACTATATTCAGCTATATTTTTTGGGGATTGAGTGCTTCTGAGCAAAAATCTCGTAATACAGGCTTAACTAACATAATATATAGATAACTTTTTTTCTCATTGAAGAAGCTAGATACACTAGCCTGTCGTCTTATTTTGTGGAGGAATTCCCACAGAATGTGTGTAATGTATTTATTTTTCCATAGCAAAATGCCATTCATAGTGATAACATGTTCATGAACACATGTCATAATTGTCTAGTTATAGGAGTTTCCTCGATATAAGCCCCCCTTGTTCTCAGTAATTAATATCCTGCAACACGATGTACAGTGGTTTTGACATTTTAGTCTTGCATTCTCGATTTTTCGATTTGAAAATGTTGATATATTTGGCATGATATCCTTCAAGCAAAGCAATGATATATGCTGTATAATTGTTCAATAATGCTATAAATAAAAATGTACGTATTCACTACCATGGCTGAAACCATCAGATCGGAGAGTTGGTGTTTTACCAATACCACTAGCCCTCCAAACAATGTGCTGGAATTATATATCCAGATGGACTGGTGCACATTTTTCACCTTGCAATAATTCATTCCCTTCCAGAAGTAACTGTAGACGAACTCATTTTTATTGGACCGACTCCAGAGAACAAGTGCCTTTAAACCCTGAATATCTCCCCCTCATATAGAACGAAATTAACGTGCATCTAGTTTGTCATTATGTTTGCATCTCAGTACAGACATTTAAAAGTTTGTCATTTGCATTTTTATAGGAGTAAGTCCATAGCCATAATACACAAGTATTATAGTTGCCCTGTGATGTTGATGAAATATGATGCTTAACATATTGATTTTTACAGAAACCACGTGGGTTTACAACAGGCTGAGGCTCCATCTATTCGTACAAACTCGTCCTCATCATTTTCTAAAACTGTCTATAGTATGTCGCCAGAGGTACAAAGAATAGCAGCCAGATGGTGAAAACATGGGGACCATTTAGGCCTACTAGCTAGAATATATATAGATACCATGCACTGTGTAGTAATGTACTTATGAAGTTATGTAGGGCTACTGTCTGTAGACTGTAGTGTCTGTAGTTGTACAGTACTGTACGACTGGTTAATTAAAATGCTTCTGACGGGGAATCAAAGTTTCAAACAACACTTGCACTTTCAAAATGCCTGCTTACCAGAATAAAGGTCGCACACGTTCTACTTATAACATAAATGTTTGGCAAGACATGACACTAAGCAGGTGGGCGTGGGTGCGGCAAGACGCATGGGGGCTCCATCACGTCGACAGCATGTTAGCGTGCGCCGCAACAGCATGAACATGAGTAGAGTAAGAACCAAGCTTTTCCACTAATAAAATATCTTACCTTAAATTCCTTACACATATTAAATCAGAAAGGATACCCTTGTTGCACTCTCGGCTGTGGAAATATGTTATGCTGTCCCGGCTGATGGTACTTTCCCTTGTGGTTAAAACTCATCGCAAGGTGCGAAATGTAGGCCTGCGAAGGACCCTCTCTCTTTCTAAGCTTGTTTCCAAGCCCAATCTCCTATGAAACACGAAACAATTTCACAGACATGAAAATTAAGCTCATTTCTTGTCATAGCCTACTTGTAGACACATAACAACAAGCCAAATTGTAGATGATTGCTGATTATATTAAGTATGCTTTCTAAATATGGCTACCTTACTTGCGGATCCGCAAGGAGACGAGTTCGTGAGTTTCCGCCAGTACTCGGCGAAGGAATCGACACGAGAAATTGCCAACATGTGGCAGCACCATCCAATGGTCAATCTCACACGAGAGTGTGAAAGCGGTGCTCTGCTCTCACCATAGTCATAGATTTTAGACAATGAGCTGTGAACTGATATGTTACATAACATATTAGTTATATGTCTGCTTATATATCAGCTTGTATATCAGTGATAAATTAAATATCATGTATCATATATTATCATACATCTGATCATGCATCATATCGTGGGTTAATAATAAATAATATAGATAGATAATAAAGACAAATTTGTCATTGTGTTTTTACTTGTCAAATTTGTCATTATTAACCCCTAACCATATCATATCATGACATTCATATCAGGAGCGTCATAATATATATAATGTGACATCATATCATATCATATCTTATCATATCATATCATATCATATCATATCAAATATCATATATACATATCATATCATATCATATCATATCATATCATATCATATCATATCATATCATATCATATCATATCATATCATATCATATCTTATCATATCATATCTAGGTGCGGATCTAAGGGGGGTGTCCGAGGGGTCCGGACCCCCCCCCCTTAATTTCAAAGTGACCTAAAAAATTAAAAGATAATTTTCTGCTAAAAATTTGGAATTCCATCTTGCATTCTAGACATCAAAATTACTACTCAGATGCTCTCAGAATGGACCAATATTTAAGAAATTTTCTTGGGGGAGGTCCCTCAACCCCCCCCCCCCGTAAGTGGTGCCTTCGTCAGCTTATTAAAACACCAGAAAAATTAAGCAGAAAAAAGTGCCCTTTATTACACACCCCTTTCTAAAATCCTGGATCCGCCCCTGATATCATATCATATCATATCATATCATAATAATCATATAACAGTTATATGTAAACTATATAATAACGTATATGTACAGAATAACATATAATCAGGTGTATAATAATATATTAATATTAGAATATAATAGAAGAGTATTATTATACACTCCTAATATAATAATATATAATAACAGTTATTATATATTATTATATCAGGAGTGTATAATAATATTCTTCTATTTTATTCTAATATTAAACTATTATTATACACCTGATTATATGTTATAAATCTATATTCCGTTCTAAATCTATATTCTCGCGCCTGAAATTGCGAAGGTCAAGTACGTTGTTATCGCATTAATGAATTGTTTCAATTACGGTTTAATAGATGACCAAAATAATGATATCTCTGTGTTGTCACCTCTCACTATAAACCATCTCAGCTTTTGTAGCAATAGCTCAATGCACTTTGCGCATCACACATTCAAGCATGCACGCACGTACACATGCACGCACGTACACATGCACGCAGAGCAGTACAGGGGTGACACGAGATATTGTGGTTATGGATTATGCGGATTAAGGTCTGTGTCAGGGTGGTGAGGTCTAAACTCACATTACACATAGGGAGCTAATTCAGTTCGCGTCGCGTCGCAGTTTCGTTCGTTGATCATATTAGGGGTACGGTGGGTATAGTTAGGTTTTTTCACTTTTGACTTCTTCAAGGGTTAGGGGTTTTGAAGGGTTAGAATAGAACCTTTGGCGCTTTTACCAGGACATAAATGTTGCAATTTGCAAGACACTATTTGTAGTATTGACAACAAGTAGTATAGTAGTAGTGACGTTGCTTTAATGCTTTTTAGCAAACATTTGTTGATGATAGTTGATTGACAAAATTAAAGAGACAACGATAATTCAATTGTAATTTTAGTTTTCGTACACAAACGCTTTTGTGTACAATCTGAAAATATGGCGATTAATAAATTCCAAAAAAACATCTAACATGGGATGAGCCATCAATCTACTGACATTAAAACAGAAAGACATGATTCTAAATAAATACTGCTTTTATTTATAACTTTTAGTTTTTCATGTTACCACAGACGAATTAACAAACATTATGCAGTTTGGAGTAATGAGGCGGAAAACGTCTACTGATGACAGCGGCTGTGTGGTACCGTTCGTGTAACTACAAAGATGTGACACTGACTGCGACCGTGACCTTTACCCGTGTCATACTAACACCTGCCATGTGACAGCAGCACCTGACATGTGACAGCAGCGTCTGACATGTGACACCGGCACATGTCATGTGACACGAGCACCTGACTTGTGACACAAGTATCTGTCACATGACACTTGCACCTACAGGACGACACAGGTTCACGTAAAAATACAACGTCTCGGAACTATCTACACTTTGGAGCAACGATCCGGTCAGTCACACAGACGTAGAGTTACAGTTTGAAGTGACCAAAAGCAACTGGGAAACGAGATGCGGCCCCAGTGACGAGGTTTCATATCGTCCATATTTAAATCTGGATTTAATCCATCCTAAAATCGTATTGAAATTACATCTGCTTCTCATCCCCTCCTCGCGCTTGCCCGTAACGAGTAGTAAGGTCGTTTTATATAATACCAACATAACGACTGATAGATATTATATTACGCAAGGCAATGAATGGTTGCGTTTTTAAGTTTACGTAAAATTAGGACGAAAACGGTTGTACTTATTGTCATGATGTTGATGATGACGACAATAATGACGATGGCGACGATGGCGACGACGACGACGACGACGGCTGATGATATAACGTGGACGATAGATAGATAACACGTTAGCGCGTAACTGTCGGAATGATCAGATGGGGATGTTTTAACATGACACGTCTCCCTCTCTTCACAACTCTGACATTTTGCCCTTCACGAACCTTTCCGGTTGCTCCAACATTTCAGATTGATAATACTGCGCTGTAACCTGCACGGTATATATATATATATATAGTATTGTGCATCATCTGTATGATATGGCACTTTAAAGAGGTATGGAATGGAATAACAAGTAACAATCGATAGTGTGCGTGAAAGTGTGCGGTGCTTGTTTGTTGTTTGCATGTGTGCGTGCGTGCGTGCGTGCGAGACGGTGTGGTTGTGAATGGTCGGTACGTGTTTTTATATGATGAATTATATCACGAACTATGAACAATCTTCACGGATTCACGCAGGCCAACCCCCATCTGATCATGTGCGACATCTATTGAACCGATTGCGCATCATACCATCGGCAACAATTACATAGGAACATATCTACATAGAACCGATGTAACTGCACATTTTACATTCCGTACACAATAACACCGTACAGCAGGTGAAATGGAAACGGAATTCTTGAAAATAAAACTGCCCGAATTATGTCCCGTGCACCCACGATTACGTCATCGCAGTGTAGCAACGACGATGACGATAGATCGAAGACTAGCACAGAGAGAAAATACGAATCATGCGCGAGCGGTTCCCCGTTTAGTACAATTACGCCCGTAAATAGAACTTCGGCCCTACACATTATATCGAGAGTACTCCTGATTATATCATGCCTGCCAGGATTTCCACTTCTTACATGATCGATCATGTGCTATGCATAGCAGTGCAACAATAAAGCATCATGAAGTCTAGCAATGAACACACAGACGCCGCGACAAATAGACAAATATTTGCAACGCATTTCGTTCACTTACGCTGTGATAACAGGTATGATTGATTATACTTCCCAGTTAACTTACATGATATCCCTGCACGATGATATACAAACGTCTATATGACGGGTATGGGTTCATGAAACACGACTTATATGCCGTGGTGAATATGAAGTCTACAAATCGGCAGTAATAAAGTTATGTAAGTTCACAACGACAATATGTATAACGACTCAAAACGTTCAACGATATCAAGCAAGTGAAGACAATGGTACGCAATGTTTCCTACAGTTTGTATCGTAGTCTGTATACAGGCATTAACTCATAGATATTGCATTTCGTATTAATCGCTTGTTCTTACGATGCGAAAAACAACTACTAGTATTAGACAAACTCATCTTACGGGGAACACGTAGCAAGCAACACGTGAGCATAAGCATGACAGTTAACAAAGTTTGACTAGCCATCATCTGAGACCGGTTTTTATGAAGGTGCCGGACTAACTAGCATCTACACATTATGTTCACCGCATCCTCAGGTTGCCTGCGAAGTTTAGCAATCGCTACCAAATCATCGTAAATAGCACCACCGACATCATTACAAACCGCACACCAACCTGAAAAGCTTAACATCATCATATAGCACCATTACCTGTTGATGCCAAACTAATAACAAGAGTTTGTGAGCCTTACGGAGCTCCGAAGGTACGTAGGCAGCGACTATGCATATGGTAATATCTCTACAGACATTTTGTTTTTAAGCGTTGTAAATACGAGACAGGGATTTTTTGTGGCACACGTATACAACGCAAGCACGCAGCAAACTGGCGCACATTTAAGTACAAACGCGCGCACACATACACGCGCACGCACACACGCACGTACGCACATATATATGCTATATAAATGTTACTTTAGGTCTACTTTATGGTATCAAGGTAGTTAATATATCTCTGATTTTGAAACCAAGAATATAGTTTCCTTTTGACGAATATGCACAAAAATGTACTACCTGTTGCAGTAGATGCAGAGTGCTTAAAATCACATGGAGTACTTTGTGTTTGTGTGCGTGCGCGCGTATATATATATATATATATATATATATATATATATATATGCCCGAAAATCGGCTGCAACACGCATATCTCTAAATGTCCGACCCAAAATAAATAGCAACCACACCTCAACCGATTCTGTCGCACTACCTAACTGAAAAAAGGTAAGTAAAGAGAGTCGCGGATTCGACTGAAGTTTGCCAAACGAATTCATAACGGCGTTGTGCGTTAACGATCGTCTTCTCTTCAGTAACATGTAGAATAAAATAAAGTAAAATTCTATACATTTCTTGACTTGTCCCGCAAAACCGCAATAATGACCATAATATATAACGACATGAGGGCATTTTACATACATATACGTAGCTTGAGCTAAAACCTCAAATATAAGATCGTTCAGCTAATGTAGAAGACGGATAATAAAAGCAAAATCATATAGCCACGAAATATTTACAATGACTAAAACATCTTTGGATAAATATGACTCATATACATGTAAACACCAATTTTATAAAATTCATCAGACAACAATTACCCATCTACATAGAGCGAGCAATAATCATTTCTCCACACAGAGGGTTAAACAACGATTCATTGACACATTCATCGTAATAATCTTCCATGAACACGAACGGTAAAATATCGCTTCTCTGCATAAAGGATAAAACAATATACCAACATAGACGGATTCCTTTTATATATACCAACAGCTTTCAACGCAAGTACATTCATGGATACACGAAACCAGAGACAGACCTACCCAGCTTGTGTTATTGGTACTTGATATGTGTAATAGTTTCACACTTGTGCAAACGATGGAATTTGTATAGCAATCCGTACTCAAATAGCCTCTTTGCGGTCTCTACGTCATTTACAAATATAGTATGATCTCCTTCCTATATCCATCCTACATATCAAGAGACTCGTGACGTTCGCTCCACACGACGAAAACGTTCTTGGAAATATTCTTGGCGCAACTATTCTGTGTGACGTTTGTCTCACACAGTCAGCAAACTGCCGATCATCCAAATCCAGCACGGGGCAATTTCATGATGATGAAATGCTAAAATGTTTACCATTACGCATGGATGGTTATCGATTAATGCAGCACAGATGGGTTCGTCATCTGCAAGACAACCTCAGACAACCAACAGATCGAGATTCTGCACTTATACGCTACACTTATGTTATATATCAAGAGCTCATAATAGAGAAGAGTATGACACCGTTTTAACAGCGTTTTGCATAGTTTTCAACTTGTAAATATTTTATCAATGTGAATAAATATATTCAAACTTTACCTTGTTCTCGTCTATGATTCTCCCTTAATCATATGACACCACCAATTTACCTGAAAATCGTATGTGTTCTTCAAAAAAGTTCTTCCCAAATGATCGCATGTATTCGGCACAAGTTTATTATCGGGTTAGTGTTATATTTTCTATGACGGAATGCTGGGGGCTGTTGGGGATATTAGGCATCAAATTGTATTCAGCGTGTAGCGTTTCCAGCATGCTAGAAATAAATGTGTGCTCACGGCGAGCTAGCAGCTGATTTTAGCTGTGTTGCCATCGTGTTCCTGATGATAAGGAAGCGAAACAAGTGCTGTTACTCTGCTTACCTAATTTCCCTAACAGCCCCCAGCGTCCCGTAGTTACAACCTGGTGCTGCCGCCGCATTATAAACTGGCGCCGAATACATGCGATCATTTGGGAAAACTGTGTGAAACCGTGTCGTATTCAAAGAACTTTTTTGAAGAACACATACGATTTTCAGGTAAATTGGTGGTGTCATATGATTACGGGAGAATCATAGACGAAAACAAGGTAAAGTTTGAATATATTTATTCACATATTGATAGAATATTTACAAGTAAAAAACTATGCAAAACGCTATTAAAACAGTGTCATACTCTTCTCTATTATGAGCTCTTGATATATATATATGTAAATCACAGAAAAAACAAACAACCTCATACAAATTTGATCCTTGATTGACTCGCTGCAGTCCCTTACGTGACTAGGAAGTGACTAGTGGCTCCATTCTCAATGGTCCAACTGAGATGACGAGTGCGTATTCAAGTTGCACCTATATAAAGGTGATGCCTGTGTGAACTTACCTCTGTAACAGTTCAGCCACGCCCGAAATGCTGAAAATGGATGCTGCACCAAACCGTATCTGAGAGGGAATACTCGTTTGCCGATCGGGAAGTACAGGACAAGGAAAATCATATTAATACTGCTATGGCAATATGCTCCAACTCATATATTTAGTGCCGATCTCTGGGGAGTGGTGCCGGAGAGGCTGTTCCTGCGATGGGTAGATGCCTTCTCTCTCTCTCTCTCTCTCTGTCTCACAGTGTGTAGGTGTGTATGGCTCGAGCTGTCCACTGCTCCTCCCTCTCACCACACTTCGCATTTCTGCAGTGGGTTCATCACCGTGTCGACGGGGCACTTCCACGCGCTAGCAAACTCGTGAGAGTTCGACAGTGGACCGATGACCCTGCAAAATGTAGCGGGTGGCATACAGAACCCGAGGCTTGCCACGTGGCGGAAGCATAACAGGCGAGCGCGAGTGGGTGAGGGATACTGCCCTCCTCTCCCACCAGCGTCCCTTTCAGCTCATCAGTTTACAGCCGTTTTTATCTCTGTACGATCGTTTTAGTCCGACATATATTATTGTCCCAGTAAGCATATAGGAAATAAGAAATTCACAATCAGCGAGCAGTGGAATAGAACAGCTGTATAGACTGAGTGGGTTGTGCGGACTTCTTAAGGGCTTGTATGGGATACAACATCCATGTTTTCTATCATTAGTGGTAATCATACCACGACAAAAAAAATCAGGTGAGCAATGCATATAGTGCTCGTTTAGTTACAGTAATTTGTTATTGTAGTTTACCTGTACTTGGCAGGACTGTGTGTGTCACTGATTAGCTGTAGGTGCTTAGCCTCGTCTGTACTGGCTGAACACCACACCTGCCAGCAACACAGCAGACACAGTAAGCCAACAGAAAACAAGAAGTGCAACACAGCTAATCTTTCACTCTCATTGAATTATTTATGCAGTAATCAGGAACATTAAATTCATCAAACAACGCGTACCAATGCTTTGCAAACAACTGCATGATGTACAAAGACAAGAAGTGCAACACAGCTAATCTTTCACTCTCATTGAATTATTTATGCAGTAATCAGGAACATTAAATTCATCAAACAACGCGTACCAATGCTTTGCAAACAACTGCATGATGTACGAGTACGTGACGCGAGGGGTCGGGGATGAGGATTTTTGAGATGGGCATGTACCTGAGAGAAGCCGAGGAAGAAAAGCTGGTTCAGTGTGTAGTTGACTCCTGGCAGGGGCAGTTCTTCCCCGTTATCTTTGACCCACGTCTGGTATGCCTGCAATATATCAGCAAATGTGCGATGACTACTATATTTATTACTAGATATTTATTACTCGAGTTACCCACGGCTGAACAAGGATGGTTTCAGTAAAATTATTCTCTGTCAAAATGTGCCTTCCATCCTTGCAATCAGGCGACATTGCGCCACCTGGTCGCAAACAAGGGCAATTACCGTAGGCCTCTACCCAAACCTGAAGTAACGTGACTTTACTTCAAACTGTTAACTAGTAATGTTGACTCTTTCTCTTTCTTTCCTTCTCCTCTCTCTCTCTCTCTCTCTCTCTCTCTCTCTCTCTCTCTCTCTCTCTCTCTCTCTCTCTCTCTCTCTCTCTTCTCTCTCTCTCTCTCACTCTCTCACTCCGCTTCACCCCCTGCCTTTTTCTTACACCTTCTCGCTCCATCGCTCCCGCCATCTTTTCTGCACTCTCTCACACTGTCTCGATTCTCTTAAATGAATGGCTACATTATGCTCACACAAGCGAAATAAACATTAATATGAAACAATTTATACTCACGTAATAAGCAGACTTCAATCCTCCGTTGTCGGCTATGTTTTCACCGAGCGTCTGTTTTCCGTTTATCTGTGAACAAGTCAACCAGTTAGATTACACGCCGCTCGCTGCGTGACGCAGTCCACGAAGCAGAACAGCTATCGGTTACCTTCACTGTCGATGTGGCCGAGCAGAATCGAAAAGCACGAATACTATGGCAATAGTTGGTAATGCCACGCAGGTTATTATTATGAACGCGGGTAACAAAATAAACAAAGTATCATTCGTAAAACCCATGCATGGAGAGCTGCTATGATACAGTTCAGGGGTAATAAGTGACTGCTGTTCTTCATCCATAATGGCGGGATGAGAACGTATCAAGTATAATTTTAGTAGGCATTAGTAAGCTGAGGCAAATTGAAAAATGGTAACAAAAAAAATTGTTAATCAGTTATTCAATGCAAAGTATCGCATTAAAGTACACATAGCAAGAAATTCTAGCATTGTGTAATCCATAGAAATAGATAGCTAACTATAACTAGGTATATAGGTAATATATCACTAGGTTATCTATCTATTTCTATGGTGTAATCATAGATGTAATGCCTATGGACACTGCATCGCAAGCATGTGCACAGCAGCTGTTGATACTCACGGGTTCGCCATTAACTAGGTACGTGGCTGACTGATCTACCAGACACTGCGTGCGCTCCTTGAAGTTCACTATGGAGTCATTGTTCCACCAGGCCTTCAGATTGCCGAATTTGTCATACTCTCGACCTTTACGCATGAATGGCAAGCAAAGCGAACAGAGAAAAATTGGCAAATCATGGCAAATCGCACCGCCAACAGTGACGTCAACTGCAGATGGCTCTAAGCAGGGCTTGGTGTTTGCGAGCAAGCAATACTAGATGTGAGAATGTCAAAATCAGTTAATTGACGATTATGACGGTATGGGGTCTGTTTAAGTTTTCCATTTTAAAACAATAGCACTACTTGTCAAGTAGAAGCAATTTAAAAGTTACACATTGCGTGTTTAATTTCAATGACCACGTGCAAGCCTGCGATGACAGAAATGCTCACAAAATTATAACCAGACCCCACATAAGCAATGCCAGTGCAAAATCCATAATTCTGCCTCTCCAGTTATTTATTAGATACCATGAAGTTGTTAGCTAAAACGTGCACAGACCAAGAGAGAGAGAGAGAGAGAAAGAGAGAAAGAGAGAGAGAGAGCGAGCGCGAGCGAAAGAGAGAGAGAGAGAGAGAGAGAGAAAGAGAGAGAGAGAGAGAGAGAGAGAGAGAGATTAAGATAGAGAGAAACAAGAGAGAAGTAGAATTGCTAGTATACCTTGGTCATCAAAGCCGTGAATTAGTTCGTGGCCCATTACCACGCCCATTGCACCAAAGTTGAGTGACCTAGTCAGACGTAAAGCAAAGCAAAGCACTTGTGTGACAGAGGTGAGCAGTGGCTTTCCCTGAGACAGTGTCCCTTCATTGTGGGTGTGCCACTCTTCAGCTTAAATGTTGCAAAAGCCCTCTACTGCTACGTGCGTTAATAGTCAATGAATGTCATTCCGCTGCATAGCTGCACTTCAAATATTACTCAGGAAGACCTCTTGGCTAATTTGCAGGAAGCATCCTTGCATACAAGAGCATGCATTACCGCTGCACTTATATATACAAATGCTTTCCCCGAGGTTGCAAGCAACAGAAGCATTTTGTCACCATGGCAACTAGAAATGTTTCTGTCTCCCTGATCTGCAGCATAGACAGGCAGGAATGTGCCTCTAAAGTACATACTTTGGGTAATCCTGGTCGTAGAATGGAGCCTGAAGAATGCCTGCAGGGAACACTGTAAAGCAAAGAACAGCGAGCATAACGAAGCCGCTCTACAGAATATTTTCTTCTCCTATGTAACAACGCGCACAGCTAACCAGCACCCAAAGAGCCAACGAGTGCGACTTTGAGGGGATATAACGCACATTTCTCGGAGGTATGAGTGAAATTTATAAAAGTATATTAACATTCACTCAGCATTCCACACACACTCTATAAGAAGTCGGCTCTCCTGCACTGAAGTGACAACACCTGCACACGGTGCTTTTTTCAGTCACCGCAGGAGCGCAGATGATCCCAAACACCCTGTTGCAGATTATATTTACCTATTCTGTTGGATGACGGAGAGTAGTATGCATTCACTTGTGGTGGTGTCATCGCCCAACTATCATAAAACACCGATAACACCATTAATATTTGTTTTTGATAAATTTGAGAAAATATAGACACTCATAACACAATGACAGTCATTCTAGTCCTACTACTGTATATATGTAACTAATTACATGCTATAGTTTAGTGAATGTTTATGCTCTTGCCACTTACTCAGATTTGTTGACTGGCTTCTCCAACTTCTGCAGTATTCGTTGCTTTGTCCACAAGAGGGCGTGCACATTATTGGTGAAGTACTGGTTCTCGTCAAATTCCAGCTGGTAATGAAAGGCCGAAAATATTTACATTTTACATTTACATGCCATATTAAGTGTTGGCAGGCATAAAAATATTACACAAATCAAACACACATGACCTTGCCTGAGCTTCATACATTACAAAATATTACAGCCTGCTTCTCTGATCAGGTTCCTAACGTCATTACGTTGCAATCCCATGCAATTACGAAACCTTTCAGTATCCAATCTGGTCGTCTGTCTTTCAGGAGCAACTGCTGCTAGCAAACGTCACGAGAGATGTGCCACTTGAGGCGTGTGTAAACACTGAATACAAACACACACGAACCCCAGAGTAGTAGTTGTCGAGTGACTTGATATCCAAGATGTAGTCAGGAAATCCAATCATGTCGATAACCGCGTCTGCCTGCAAAAATTGCAGATATTGTTTTAATGACATTAAATTAACATCACTTAAGCTGCTCTGGCAGATGGATCAGGTGGCAAAGAACAATATGCAAGTAGAAGACACAATGTGCTAATGCAGATGCCTTCTAACCACTAGCCTATAATCTCGCACAACTACCTTTCCTCATCTAAGGCAGTAACAAAACTATCGTTTGAGATTCATGAACTAGGAATGACAGTGGCTATAGCTTAGACACTGAGCCTTAAAGATGGATGCTCATGTGTCTTGGCCTTACTTCATTTGGATGAATAGTTTACTATATGGTTAAGCAAACTATGCACATTAGGCTCTAATCCTCCTAAAAAATGAGAGAAATGTTGATGGAGCTGAATGGATAAAAAATGAATGGGCAGTACCATATTTCATGGCTTACAAGACACTCTAATCAGTCTAATGCACAAGACCAACAACAAATTCAGAAGATAATAAAGTGAAAAATGCTCGACTGTATTTGACTTCATAATAGCCATGTTTACTGCCATGTATATGCCCACGATTGATATAATAATAAGGCTGCAGCCATGTTCTTTCTTTCTTTTATCCCCCTCGAATCCCCTGTATTTCATAATCCCTCCTCACTCTCAACACTGGTTAGTATATATACTGTAAGCTATTCCGCTGAGGTGTATAAATAACCATAACATAGCCAAAAGATCTTAGTTATAATAATGTCCTCTACACTGGCCTTTAGCCAATAGAATGTAAGATGGTTTTTGGAGAGATATTCTGAGCAAAAAAAGTGCATCATTAGTGGCCCATTGCAGTGATAACATTTTTAGTCTATCCAAATCTCCTCAGAGAAGAAGTTTCCACGCAGGTAACCACATTTTGAAAATATTGCATCTCAGTCTCTTGTATTACTGTCTCTACCTCTTGTCTTTCTGCAAATTTCATTATAGTGTATTACCCAAGAGCTAACTGTTGTGTGGAAAGAGTAGAGGTTTATTAGGGCACCTGTAAATAAATTGTGTATGAAGATTATAGTAACATCACAAATCAACATTTGATGATGAACCACACACTTCAAGACGCCTGTGCACACCTTCTCACGAGCCGCCTGCCGCGTTTCTGGATCCATCCAACTTAGCTGTGGGAGGTTGAGCTTGAACGCCCTCTTCACACTGTCCACCATGCGTTCGGCCTGCAACCCAAGAATACTGCTCGGTGATAACATATTACTGCTGTGAATCCCACACAGTAAAAGTGCCAAGTTGCGACTGAACATGCACAATGACATACACGGAAAATGATGGCAAATGGCTCCTATTTTATTTGTACTATTCCTAACATTATCTTACCTACTTAAGTGCACATTTTTGCAATCATATGGGCCTATTTAACAGTACTTCAGGCTTCTAAACCTTACATTTATGGAGTTTCTTCCATCAATAAATACACTTACATGCTCACACACATACACACGCCTTCCACAGAACCCTGCTCTATCATTCGTCAAGATCAGATTTAGAAATGACTAGAGCAGCCACTATCTATGCTACACACCACAGTCGCATTGCCACGCAACTTAGCCGAATCAAAATCTAACTTTTGAATTACTACATGAACCTCCCTCTGACTATGACGCACCGAACGTGCACGAAACAACACAAAGAACGCGTGCCCCATACCTTCGCCTTGCTGTCGCCGTCGAACACCTCCTGCACGAACATGGCGCCGAGCGCGAAACCGATGACGCCGTCCGTGTCGGAGACGCAGAGGCGCCAGAGGACGTCGAAGCCGTCCGAGCCGGTCATCGCCTTGCTGAGCGGCTTGTTGAGCTCGCGGAACGCCTTCGACAGGTAGGGAGACATCTGCCGCGCCAGGTTCCACACCATGTAGTTGTTGAGAATGCTAGTTGTTGAAACGAGAGAGTAGCGAGCGTTGAGAACGTAGCGAAAGAATTTACACGGGGTAAAATAAAGAACATCGACGTGAGATAACGCAGAGAAAACATCAATGTGTAAGAACGCAGCAATACAAAAAAACATCACTTACACCATGTAGTTGATGAGAATGCTGGTGATGAAACGCGAGGGAACGTAGCAAAAGAATTTACGCGAGGTAAACGAAAAGCATCGACATGAGAAAACGCAGAGAAAACGTCGACGTGTAGGAACGCAGCAATAACAAAAACACAAGTGAACAGTACAGCCATTGCTAAAGTTGTCATGGCTACTCGCACATGTGAAAGTCGCCGATAACTCTGATATCATTTTTGTGTGATGCATGTTGGGCCTTGCTACCGTCCACTTTCCCGACAGACGATCATCATTGTCTACAGAAATAATTTAAAATATGTACCTGAATATATGTTAAAGGAATCGTTTACTCTAGGTTCTAGGGTTATTTTCAGTTGATTTAGGTTAAAATTACGCCACATAAAAAGTTTCATGGTTCAATCACCATTAGAAATATTACTAAAAAATGTTTTAAAACTAACGACTACAGTTTGATTACAACGACGGTGGTGCCACTCAAAGTGCACGATCTGATGAGTTGCGCAAAACCACTTTTCAGCCAAGGGCTACAGACCAAGAGTGTTTCATATTTATTAATTGAAAAGCAAAAGGATTGTAATATCTTATAAACGACATATAGTTTCAGTTATAATATGGATAAATTTGCCCTAAAATGAATTTCGTTCAGTTAAATAGCATTTAGGTATAAATATAATTGCACTTTTGTGATTAGCCCTCGGTCTGTAACGTGCAAAATAAATTGTCAAATACACAACTTTTTCGGAGTGGCAGCACGGTCGCGGGTGTCATGGCGCCGTTCAAATTTCGTAGCGTTGATGTGTAATTAATTATAACAATTAAATTAGGTATCTGGTAACAAATACGTGTGGGTATAGACGATTTGTTATACAGTAAGTACAGTTGTATGCAGTTGTATGCAGTTGTATGCAGTAAAATCCTAGAGGCTACTGTCCCTTTAATAAAAAAAAAAAAAATTTGTTAAATATTTTTTT